ACTATTCTATGAATGTTTTGGTCCTGGAGGGCAGAAGTCCTTTATTTCCTGGTACCTACAAACTAAGAATAGCTATCAAGGACTATTCTGGTATCCTCCTGGCTGGGTGCTAATCTGGAAAGATATGAACCTTTTGGAGTAGGGGATTTAATCCCACCACATGGTGATGTGGCCATACTGACTCTTAGCACAAAAGAGGTGGAAATGCATCTAGTGAATCTAAGGGAGTCTGTCCAGGTGTTACACTAACACCACTTAGTGCATCACTTCTGAACTTGGTTGGCCCAGAGGACCCAACTACTCCTATGTGGTGCTGGGTTCTAAACTAAGTGTAACCACTCAGGAAAGAGGGCATTAATGTGGATAGCTCATAAGAAGCCCTGCTACTGTATAGCCATGGTGTAGAAAACAATGTTGGAATGCATAAGAAATAGCATGGGAAATACTGACAATGTTATAATATTATATAAACTAGTGATACACCATTACACAGGCTATTGGGTTTGTTAGGGTCACCTCTCTCAGAACAGGTGTTGCAAAAATAGTGTGTGTGGGGGGTGGGGTTTCAAAGACAGACAATGAAAAATATTAGAGTTGTAAAGAACTTCCATCTGAGTAGAGCTTGAAAAGATTGAGACGATTGTTTAGAAAGGAGACCTGACAAAGTATACAAAATAATAGGTAGTATTGAGAGAGTAAAAGAAGATAAAAATTAATCCAGACAAAGTTGTGGCACTAAAAAGATGTATGCTTATCAATCTACAGACCTGCTTTATATTCATCTTCACTGCCCCTTCATTCATACACCATCTATTTGGATTTGCAAGCTCTCAGGGCAGCAATCTTTTGTATGTTATTTTTTGTAAATCACTTAGCACCCTGTTGGGGCAATGCAAATAATAATAATAAACATTCACCCTCGTGGGTGGCATAAAGGAACTTGGAGAAATTAAAGTAACGTGTAACGAGTGAATAGTAACATGTGAATAGTGTAACCAGAAGGACCCATTTCAAGTAATGAAATCTGGAACCCTTCACCAATCATCGATTTGCATCCAGCCTAGGACAGTAATGAATTTAAGTTTTACTGTCTGATGGATGCTCAGCAGCCTCTGTGAAATCTGGTGGTCTCAGTTCAGTTGTCCCTGGATGACTGTGCATATCATAAACCCCAGTACAATGGTATCAATTAGTAATCTTGTTTATAGCCTCCGCAGAGAGGTCAAGGAGTGAATGAGTATGGAAACTGAACTACATCCAATGGCAGAGCTGGGTAAGGAAGCTCATGCTGGAAGAGCATAAGTTGTAGCTGTTCTATGTGTGATGGGTTGGATCACAGAAACCCCCTTGGGAACTGCCAGACTGATGTGCCAAGAATACTTCTGCCCCTGCTTTCCCTGCCAGCTCGGGACCCCAGCACCCTGTCTTGCTGAGCCGGACATGCCCGTCTGCTCCAACACAGACCCAGGGTCTGAATTACTTGCTCCAAAGCTGCAAACTTAACTGAAAGCAACTTACAGAAGTGAGTGTTCCTGTCTTTAACACTCAGATGTCCAACTCCGAATGAGGTTCAAACCCCAAATAAATCCATTTTACCCTATATAAAGCTTATACAGGGTAAACTCATAAATGGTTCGCCCTCTATAACACTGATAGAGATGCACAGCTGTTTGCCCCCCCCCCCAGGTATTAATACATACACTGGGTTAATTAATAAGTAAAGAGTGATTTTATTAAATACAGAAAGTAGGATTTAAGTGGTTCCAAGTAGTAACAGGCAGAACAAAGTGAATTACCAAGTAAAATAAAATACAACACACAAGTCTATGTCTAAGAA